ACTAGAAACAGAAACGTTAAACAGCACATCTCTTCAATCGATGAGCAGCAAAGACTTACTCAGGACAAAGTGAATTTATCATGCTCTTTATTTACAATGTTTTTCCGGTAAAATTTTTCGATAACTTGATGTGCCTACTTTTACAATCTGTATAATTTTCTAGCCTAATCAATGTTTATGTGAGAGTCTGATACGATTTGCCACATGCCTGCAAAACCGTAGTCGTCGACTCCTAATTTATTTTTGACCATATAGTATCTGAAACTTTGTTTCATGTGTCTTGATATGTAAAGCTGATATTTCTTTTCAAAATAAGATGTGGATGCGTCGCCGTTGATGAAAGTTATAAAAATTCTTCTAGAAGTGCAAGGAATAAGTGAGTCCATTTATTAGTTTATCTTTTTTTTTTGGAGGCGAAACAATACCCATAGGATTGTGTGTTACAGTATCGTAGTCATCTTGTCATACGCAAAATGGCATTATTAATACACTCAAATTGATATATATATACTGCAGTCATTGAGTGTTATCGGCCCTAAAAATGCTCTAATTCACTGTATATATACAGTGAATAAATAATCTATGTATATATACATAGATTATTTAGTGATACTATGGAGTTATCTCGCATGTCCCGTGATTTACAGAATCGAAAAAAATACGAGATGATCGTTATAAGCTATACCTCGAGCCAGGTTAAACTTTTAGTATTTCTGACCTTTGAAAAATTTTGGAACCCACACTTCTTTATCAACGGTTCATCCGAACAATCGGGTTCCTTCATACTTTATGTTCAATATATTGTGTAGATGTGCCCTTTCAACAGACATAAATTTAACTGATCTGTGGTTGTTGAGATATTTTGGAAATAGTCGATTTTTTCCTTATTTTTAAAACTCTTTTTATCTCATGACTGATACGCGCACAATAGATGATTAAATGAAGGTAGACTGAGAAGCATCAAACAGAAGTTTGTTTGATTCATAATACAATGAATTGCTACACTGCTATGAAGATGTTGTTTTGAGTGTCTATTGTGCTAAAGGAATTCCGTATGGAAGGTTCAGTATGAAGTAATGTTCTAGTATTATATAAATAATTTGAAGGGCTAATTCATTTAAATTTAACAGAATGTACTGCTATGTTTTGTATAAGTATTGGTTTCCCATGGTATGGATTAAGAATGCCGTCAAAACAGCGACGTAAAAAAACGCTTTTAAACTAAACTACTACTTGAATTCTCAAGACAGAGACCGATCTACCAATATCTTGTTTTTGCGCACTAATGTATCAATCTCAAAAATAATCTTTTTATCACATAAATTTATTAATTACTCTGAATAATAAATAACAATAAAGAAAAAAATAAAATACAACAATAATATTTTTTTGTTTACAATGAACTTTGATCAACAAATTCTTGTTTACTTGGTGTATTTTGTTTCAATACACTAACACTTTGTGTATGCTGTAGTCCATTTTCAACATAAATAAATGCATACTTTTGTCTTGTTTGTTTTGCGCGAAATATTCGAATCCATTTGATATTTTTCATATATTCACGAAAATTTTGTGTCAATATTAGATATAAGAGAGGATTTAGAAATCCATTAGCATATACTAGTACCAATGTAAGAAAATTTAATATTTGAATATATCGTGTAGGATGTTTATTCGATGAGTCGTATAATTGCAAAATCCAGAATGGTGACCATAGAAGAAAAAAGATGATAATGATAATGAGAACAAGTGTGGTGGCACGACGTTTATAGACGTTAACGGTATGAAATGTATTTGCATAAGATGTACGACGATAGGTATTTTGCTTTGACCATCGATGTAAAAAAAGTATAAGACGAAATGAAAATGTACATGTGATAAATGATGGTAAAAGAAAAGCAGATATAAATTTAATTGTAACAAATTTTGATTGATCAGCATTTGTCCACATTGACTTACATTCACTCACAATGGTGGTTGTCATTGTTAAACGTGTTCGATTTTGTTCATAACCGGAACTTCTTGTTGAACTTGTCCGATTATTAACATAAATTGATGAGGACATGGGTAATGGGAAACAAATTGCACATATCCACAAGACAATAATGTAAAGTAAAACAATGATCAATTTCATTTGATCATTATAACGACGATTTGTCTCTGTTACATCGATGTAACGTTCAACACTCAGAGCCGTTATGGTGTAGACACCAACCTAAAGAGTAAGTTTCCAGTTTATGCATAGAATAATGGGAAAAACGAAAATGAACCGTAGCGAATGGCATTGAGAAATACACAAAAGGGTTAAGGTGGTCCTATCAGTTCAAATAAGGTCAGATTAACATTAAAACGATTAAGAGCCAATAATCTAATTAGAATATTCTTTTTTAAATTAACAGCAGCCATAGACTAAACTGAAATCTATTTTATTAAAAAAGTTTTTTTCAGTTTAGTCTATGGCTGCTGCTAATTTAAAAAAGAATAAGGACAGATTAATTCAATTATAATTGTTTGAAAGTTAAAAATATGCTGTTCAGTTATCGTGATTAAAAACAAAGTACGCCTCGAAAAACTTTATTCTGTCTGTTTTAGAGAAGCTTATAGAACGTATCGTTTTGGTAATTCAATTTTTTTCATATATTGGCGAGATAACTTATTTCAGATAGTTTTTTGTTATCGCAGTGTATCTTTCTTTTACCTTTTTTCATACGGTAAAGTCAACTCATGGAACACGTATTTTCTCTTTCACGCCAGATTGTAGAACAAACATTCTGATCAAAATGAGACGGCTACCAGCTATGGGCGATATTCTGATCAAAATGTTTGGACTTTTATTAAACGTTCTAAAATATGTATTATAAAGAGGCGTAACCGCATTTTTAAAGCTACGACCACATTCATAGCATCTCGGATTTGTAGGGTCAGTTCAATTTTCTGAGTCAGCTCAACAGCTGACGAAGTGAGATTAATCTCAAACTGAAGTTAAGACATGTCTTTAAAGGCTAGGAGAGCTCAGTGTATAGAAAAGCAGTGTGCAGCTTTTTATACAGAAAAATATCTTTTTAAAATTAGAGCAGATCGTTTTGGATTTTGGATTCCTTCGATCTCCACAAGTCCTACAAAGCAAAATATTAAAAGTTCGGCTCTGATAATCTCTAGATACATGTGCGCCAGCATGTAAAGCTATTGAAAATGCATGCAAGTACGAACTCCCTCTTTTGACTCCTAGCGAAGGGCAACGTATGGAACCTTGCCAGTTTTAACCTAACTGCATACTTTGACAAGGCCAATATTTTCTGAAGGAATATAACTGGCAGTCTATTGAACAAAAGATCAACAATTTAAACTCTTTTCAGTGGATATCGACACGACCCTTGAAATGGCATCTCTCCCCTAGAGAACGCACTTGATGCAAGTACATGATTACTTGTTAAGTACTTGGAAAAAGCGGCAAGTGTTTTCAAAATTTCTCACTTGCTATGCACTTTTAGAAGTACTTCTCAAAGACAAAAATACTTGCTTTTATTGCTAAGAAGTACTTTGTGAAGGTCCTTGGCAAGTAAGGGTTTTTTTATTACCCTAAACCGAAAAAAGCGTATTTAAAAACCAAAAGGGTTTTTTAGAAAGAGTCGATGGGTTTTCTGGCTTTGGTAAAAATCAGAAGCTTTTTTCGTAAACGCGTTTGGTTTAAGGAAACATCGTTTGATGGTTTTTCAAGTAGCGGGGTAATTGAAGGTAATTTGATTAATAATTTGATGATAATTAATTGAAGGTAATTGACATGCTGATTTCACCCGGTTTTCTCTTCGCGAACATAATGCTTTAATTCTGCTTTAGAAAAGTTAAAAAGCAGATGTAAAGTGCAAAAGGTTCGAACATAAAAGTGGTCTTCATACCACTTTCATAAATAAGTGCCTTGTGTACAATCTCTTTTTGTCTTAGATATTAGTTTTGCTTATTTACTACTTATAAACACTCTTTTTTTAACTAAAATAGGGTTAAAATCAGCAGTTGCTTGGATAAGACAGGTTAGAACCGCTCGCCACTATCTGTTTACATGAATACTATACCTATGCTTAGGAAAACATATTTTCTTTCTGGACTTCAGACATAGAATAATATAAGTTCACAAAGTGAATATTAAGCGACAATAGATACACTCGACAACCAATACACTCGAATAATATTACCTTGAAAACAATCCAAGCACTTGTAATTTTATTTGACAAGCGCTTGAACAAGTGCTTGTTAAGTGAAAAATCAAGTACTTACACGCTGGACAAATACTTACAAGTAAATTTACTTCTGGAAAAAAGACAAGTACCGGCTCCATTACGCAAGCGGAGTACTTGTCCCCAGTACTTGAGCACAAATGCGTTCTCTAGGGTTAGTCGTATTTTTGAACTTCCTACGCCGATCTCATAGCCGAACATAGGAGTGTAAGAATCACTTAATTACATACGAATATAAGTTTCTTTTCCACTAAAATACTCGTAACTATATTAGATATCGATTTTACACGGCCACCCTAGTGAATGTACTTGCATGCTGGTACTTGGTCTAGTACCCTCGCAAGTTTTATCCAACGTTCTTGCGCTTTTTCGCAAGTAAACCAAGTACTTGCCAAGAAATCAAGTACTTGAATTACTTTATCTTTTTGTCAAGTCCTTAGCTAAGCACTTGCCTAAGTAACCTCCAAGTACCTGTGACAGGTTCAACAAGTAAATCAAGTATCTGGCAAGTGCTTTCAAGCATTTGTGAAGTAGTATTTTTTGAAAATATTTGTCAAGTGCTTGCCAAGTATTCGCGAAAATTTGCAACTAAACAAGTACCACTCGCACGTACATTCACTAGGGCACATACTGGGGTAATAGTAAAACATGAACACATCCACAGACACTTACAGACACCTACCAACAGCACACAAGCATCCACAGATAGCCACCGACAGCTACACAGACGCAGCGAGACATCCACAGACAACCCAAAATAACTACACAGACATCCACTTCTACGGACATGGGAGCGACACAGAAGTGAATGTTTGTGTAGTTATTTTTGGTTGTCTGTAGGTGTCTTTGTGCTGTCTGTGTAGCTGTCAGTGACTATCTATGATGTCTGTGTGCCGTCTGTAAGTGTCTGTAGGTGTCTTCATGTTTTACTATTATCCCCACATACTGTGATCGTCCAATGCCAAATGTGGTACTGAGAAAAGTATAAAAAAACTAAAACATATCTGCTGCCAATACTCAGAACTATTTAATACGTGTATTGTGACTAAAAATTTGCGTTAATGTACGATTGTGCGTTGTGTGTTAACATATGTGAAACATATCTACGTACAATCTGCTGGTCTCGCATCTCTGATTAAATTAGTATGGAACTGGACACTTTCAATATTACAGTTTTTATATAAAATTGTGTTGTTGCTCCACATCCATTATACCAATATTCATTGTGAAGGATATGCAGATTTAAAGAGTTAATAATTATTTCCTAAAAACTGAATAAACTCTACCAGAATTAGCTAATGTTGACCTGGATATGTGGTACTGAATTTTTTTATTTTGCATGACAAACTTGTCCACTTTTTCTGCATCAGGAAACCATCTTACAATTAACGATGTTTACTAATTATATTTTTCTATGATGCTACATGTTGAATAAAGTGTAACATGAACGTAATATTCCGTGTTCAGGAAATAAACTTCGTAGATCCAAACATCCAACGATGTTCGTCCTTTTTTAATAACACTATTATATTAAAAATTTTTTATAATGTGAGAAAACATAATAATTATTTTTCTTCATAATTTAATTCTTCTAGCCTATTATTATTCTGTTAATATGTCAAGATAGTTAGGTTATAATGACTAGCATGTACTTGAAAATGTTTAGAAGAAAAATGATATTTAATAGGAAAAGACCGAATTGATCGTTGAGAGAGTTTGCCTGTCTACTTATACAACTCCTGCTTACACTATTAATTCAAATAGAAAATGTTTTATTCAAAATTAAAATTTAAACGCATATGGTTTATTCCTGTAAACAATGAAATATATTTGACTTTCTTCAACATAGCTGAATCGATCATTCGCTGAGTTGGCTACGCCGTGTAGTTAATACTTTGCATTTGTTTAGTTCGATCTCGATAAATATTTCACGAGTTTTATTTTTAAGAACACTTCATTCTATGCTAAATAGTTAATGGCTAAGTTAAAAAACTTTAAAGAATTACAAGGTCGACACTCTAAATCAATAGAATTAGAAATAGAAAAGGCTGGTTTTTCAGTGTTTAAAATTTTCTTAAAGAGTATTATCATTTCCATAACTTGTGGCCAAACTCCTGTATACACTAATTTTTTTGATCCAGAACTTATTGTTTAATACATGATTCAATGTAACTCGACGCATTGATTCCGAATGTGACCTTATTCGTTCTTAAAAGTATTCATGGACTGAGAAAAATGGATTTTACCTGACAAAAAAAGAAGGTTTTGAAAGCCCATAGCGAAGCCTAGGAACATTTGTGCTTTGTGTATGCGTGGAATATATATAGAAGAGCATATTTACAAAATTTGGGTTCACTCTGTGGCTGGCTAAAAGTGGCGACCTCGCTATACTAATGATATGCGTTTGGAAAACGATTGGTGCGGAAAAAAGTCTTTTTACTAAGAAAGCGGAGGTTCAAACGAGAAAACGGTTTTATAAATCAAAAGCTTAGAGGGCCTAGACTCATATGTCCGTTTTTTATTTCAATTGTTGTTGGTTTGTAGAAAAAATGAAATTTTCCTTAAATATGATACTTTTCAAACTAATTTTTATTCTCAGTGCCGTGGCGGGAGAAAAAAGCAGGAGAGGTGTACATTTTTTTGAGAGATAGCTATAGAAGTCAGAAAACACATTTACTTTTACATACATATATCTATTGGTTATTATCTTCGTTAGTAATTTGAGCTTTTTTTCTCTTTGAGGAAAACGTGGGGGAAGATATTGCCTTCAAATAGTTTGGGAGAAAAAGTGCGAGAAAGCAAAGCAGTTCTTCGTTAAATATTGATTCGATTCGCTGTCAAATCTGGACAAGAGCTCTGACGAAATTTTTAGGAGAGAAGAGATTGTTAAAAAGAAAAGATTTTCTTGAAAAGCAGGAGGGGCGTACACCCCCTCAAACTCCTCCCTTAGCCGCGGCACTGTTTGCCATAGAATTTTTCTACAATCAACTACATTGTAACAAAATTTTTATATCTTTAAATAGAGCATAGTTAAAAGTATATATGGTGAAAACAGGTTATTTTCGATTTTTTGCCGAATGGTCACCTGAATGCCTACAGTGTGTATCACATGAATATTATTACCACTACTTTTACCACTTGGTATCTCGCTAGATAGCTTTAAATCTGTTATATCATTTAACTTCGAACGCTATATAAGTAATTGCCAGGATGTGGGTGGGACGACTATACACTTGTGCCACCATGTCGAATAAGACTGCTTATGTCTAGAGGCTAAAAAGTTGTGGTTGTGAAAAATCATATTAATATTAAAAGTTTGAAGTGGAAAATATTATCAAATCGAACACAAAGAAGACAAATCACATTTCGTATCAGTAGTGAACTTCTAGTAGAAGTCTCTTGAAATAGTCATATTTAGAAAAACTTCTAAAAAGCTTCTCAGCGCAGACCTTCGGTCTAAGTGTAACTTTTCCATTCAAATATGATGGACTAAGATGGGACTGGATGAAACCTATGTCTCGAGTGTATACTTTTATATTAATTTGTTTTAATTTTATTAAGATTCTCCGTTAGCTTGTGCGCGTATACAATGTTGTCCATGGATCGCGTACGTCCGCAAGATATTATTTTTAGTTAATGGACATTATATTTTTATTGATAAAAAACTCAAATGAAATAAAAAAGATTTAAATTAAAGTTATGTGATTGTTTCATTGTGACGTCTCCGACCGAGGTGACGTTAATGTTTTCAAATCATTTTTTATAAATCATTCAATAAAGGAATATAAAAGGAACGAAAACACTTTTAGTATCGTAGTGTATATCTATATATTTAATGCCGAACATACCAGTTAGCAAAATCGAGTTTTTAACCTATTTTACATCACATGTTTAACAGAAAAATGCACGAGAATACATATATATATTGAGGTAATGAAGTACAGAACTGCTAGCAGTTCTGTACTTCATTACCTCATTATTTAAATCATTAACTGCTCTTTCTCCTAACATATATATATGTGTTTCAGCACAAAAATGCCTTTATCGAATGGTAGCGAAGAATTCTCAAGAAGAAAAAAAATACTAGTTTCAATGAAACTCATTTATCTCGACGAATCAACAAAAGTTGGTTGATGGGAATGTTTTGAAAGGTGAAAAGTTTTAATTTTAGAGAGTTCTATAAATTTTTCTTTCATATAATCGAAACGAGCAAAAAAACAAAATTTTCACGGCCATCAAATTTTTGTTATAAAAGTTTCGTTGGATAATCGACGAAAAGTAGTCTTAAAACTCTGTACTATTCCAGTCAGATCTATAAAAAGCTTTTCTAAAATCTCACTCTAAAAAATAATGTGTCGCATATATTACAAACGGTTATACATTGGTCTGCGACACAGGGATGGGTTTGGCACATTATTTACGTTACTGCTGCGACACATGCATCACATTGTAAAAATCGTTCAAAGTTCATTTTTCACCTATTTTTAAGTTTTTTTAGAGATAGAGGCCTCTTCCTGAGAAGTTCGATGCCCTGAGTCTCAATATGTCGCTTAACAATCTTCAAGAGCCCTGCTTTTCGAGAAAAAGTTTGACCGTATCCAAAGCACTTATGCACACTTAAGGTCGCTAGATATCGGATAACGATATGTGACGACACTCGTTTGCAACACGTTAATTCTTTAAAGCCCAATATCCGTTTGAATGGACATTGGCATTATCATTATAACAAATTGAGGAAACATGAATTGAAAAAATTAATTTTATATCGGTTGTAGAGAATTAAATTAGCTATTGGATGGTAAATAAACTTTTGTTTATATCTTACGTCAGCCGACATATTTAAAGTTTAAAATGAAGAACATTTTTGAAAAAATTTAATTTTTTAATTTAGTTTTTTTAGGTACATTAAGTAAAGCTTTTTATTCAACAACTTTTCAAAAATATGTATGGGGGTGTGCTCTTTTAAATTATGTCAGCTGAAGAGATTTTTAAACTTGTAGACTGCTGATGATACAAACGAAAGATCTTATTTTTACTGGGATTTCGGGCTCGTTTTCTTGGTCATTCTTGATTTTCTTCATCATCTGAGCTCATTTTCTAACTCAAATTCCTCAAATCTAATAGACTTAGATATGTTGGTCTTTGGTTTCTAACGAAAAAAAAAATTATTTTTTTCAATTTTTGATTTTAAATTTAAATTATAAAAACTTAAGTTTTTTAAAAATAAAAAGTTATTTTTTCGAGCGTGAGAAAGTCATATTGAGGTTTCATATGTTCCATTCTCATAAGCGGTGGACCGAAAGCCAAGCATTAAAGCCTTGGGGACTTAAAGGGTTAATATGCAATATAATAATGCGAGACATTATTTTTTAGAGTGTTATTGATATTGTAGGTATTTAAAGCTGTCAGCCAGTGTGTTTATCATATTAAGAAGTATTCTTGTTGAAAGGCGACTATAAGGTTTTGACTATACACCACTAGATCGAGCTTCCTCTACAAACCTACATATATCCCGTTCTGTAGTCTAAAATCACCGTGAAATTTATAGTCGCCTTTCGTTAAACAGATTGAAGTTAGAAGTAGTTCATATATGGAGGGTCGTTTTTTGTACATACATTAAAAACTGTATATAGTTTTCTAAAACGTAAAATAAAATGGAAAAAAAACAAATGTAACAGTTGTTTGGATTGTAGCATATCACCGGAACAAAAAAATAAAGTTGGTTTAGAGTTGCTGAAAAGTGATTTTTCGTATTCATCACACTCGATAACCCAGAAGATTTTCTGTTTTTGGCCCGGGGTACTTCCGAAAGTTTAAGAAAACTTTTGAAACAAAATGGCGCAAAAAGTTTTCCATGGAAAAATAATATTAATTTGAAAACTTTTCCTAAACTTTCGGAAGTACCTCGGGCCAAAAACAGAAAATCTTTTGAGTTATCGAGTGTGCTGAGTACGAAAAACCACTTTTCAGCAACTCTAAACCAACTTTATTTTTTTTCCAGTGATATGTTCTTATACAACACAACAGACTAGGAAAGTGACAATACTTTTTCCTGTGTACTACAAATTTGAGTTCATGTGTCTTCTTCATTTATACAAAAAAGCCAAATAGGATATTTTTTGAAGCAAGTGTGCTGTTGTTAACTTTTTAGAGAGTGGTTTAATTCATTCAACTTAGTAGGATATCTATCTCACTCATGAGTTACCGTTATAACATTCTTTCTCATATATTGATGAATAATTCTATTTTGAGAAAGTCTAATATACTTTATCAGCAATGAAATTCGAAGTGCAAATTACCTAAGAGAAAAAAGAAGAAAACTACTGAGCACTTACAATCATTGCTATGATATCTATTGCAATTGATAATTGACATCCGAGTCGCCCAAATGGCCACCATGGTATAACAATATGTACAGCAAATATTGGTATAGTGAATGCATAAACAATATCACTAATTGCCAAATTAATAATCAACAAATTGATTGGTGTTATCGCTTTTGCACCCAAAATACATAGGATAGATAATGAATTGAGTAATATAGATGTAATAAAAATAATACCAAGGATAATTAATTGTGGAACAGGTGGTAGACTAAGAGCTAATGGAACATTGGAAATAGATGACTGATTTGACGTATTCATGTTTCTTTAGTAATGACCAATAAATATACGATCCGACTAATAAACATTTTGGAAAATAACTATTGTTCTATAAAATGATAAAAACTAGATGAATACAACAATTCTCTTATCTGTTAAGCTTATGACGAAAAAGAAAAAGAGAAAAAAAAATGGAGAGCTTATCATATTTAGAAAATAACAAAAATAGTCCAGTTTTTTTTTCCGCAACCGAAAAAAAAGAATGAATAAAGAGACAGAAAAAGCATTAATATTATTCATCTGTAAATAAATTATTTATGTCTATTGAACAATAAACAAAAGAAAATAAATGTGTCTAAAGATCTCCTTCGAGTACAGAAAATAAATAGAACGTCCTTGATTCTAATAAAGTTATATGTGCTGTGTCTATCAAACGTAACTTCAATTATTTATATATTTTAAAAACTATTCAGATATTTTCTTTAGATATTGTAGGAGAAGTTGAAAACAACAGGGAAACAAAAATACGTTCTCTGTCTCAATAAGATACCTTTAAATGGGGAAGAATTTTTTTTATCTTTAAGTTATTACTAAAAATCAAGTGTTTCCGCTCAACCATGTTTTTACTTAATTTTTTAATTTAGTCAAAATGTGAGAGATGAATCTCTTGGATATTACAGTACTCCACAAAACTAAGGTCATAAAGTAAGGATCACCCTTTTGTATGGTCAAAGCTCTCACTGGATGCTGATCATTCCATCAGTATAAGCCTAATCCAATCTTAGATTCGCCTGATGTTTTCAGTCCAGTGTTACGTTGGACTGATATGTTTTATTACATTTTACTTATGAACTAGTTCATACTGAAATTCCCATTTGGCCTTAAGCAACTCTAGGCGAAAATGAAATTAGACTTTGATCTAATTCAAAGTGATAGTTTGATCTTTTTTATATTCTGAAGTATAATAAAATTATAGAAATTTTCTTCTCGTGGAAAATTTATCATGTTTGGTACTCACGAGTGAATAAAGATCAAACTATTTGAAATCCTAAATTTTTCAAACTTAGCGACAAGAATCCTCAGAACGAACACAGATAGATCAATTGAGAATAATATACATATAAGACGTGAAAATAAATGGAAATCAAAGGAACTGTGTTCTTTACTCGATGGAGTAGGAAATCATGGTTAAGAACTATAAAAACGAGAGCAAATAAGTTAAGTTACAGTTTATTTTCTTAAAAGTAGATTTCATCTAGAACGAAAGTATGAGAACTCTATATTAGTTAATCAATTTCATGTCTGTTTTGTACACATAGTTAGAATAGATAGTTAAAGTAGAATGTTAAAACAAATACTCGTAACTTTAGTAAGAGATGTTCTTTAAATATAATTTGTTTTTAATTATCAAAAGTAGAGGAAATCAAGAATCTCATTATTCTTTTCGCTTATACATTTGCAATAAGTACTTATCAGTTAAAAAGCTTATATACAGAGCCTGCCATGTATAAAAAATAATCGTGAAGTAGGTACGTGCATCTAGATTAATGACGAATTTATCTAGCTTGAATCTAGCTGAAGCAAAATCCATATAAATTTTATCTATCTGCAACTCTTCTCTAGCTCCAGTTGAAACTAGTTGTTATCGATTAATTGGGCGTTAAAGTGCCTGATTAATTGACCGATGATTTAAGAGAAAATTTATATTTCTCGATTTTTGCAGCAAGCTGGGATTTTTATACAAAGTATATCCTACAGTTGCGATATAAATCTGAAATTTGAAGTGATATATCGGTTTTAGTTTTAAATAAACCTTTTAAATTCTCTTTCGCATTATGAAGAGCAATGATCTGTTATAAAGAAGGATTGCTTTTCGATGACAGGCATTTCGATAGTACTCCACAAAACTAAGGTCATAAAGTAAGAACCACTCTTTTGTATGGTCATAGTTCTCACTAAATGCTGATCACTCCATCAGTATGAGTCTCTTTTGCACGATGGCTCGTGAGATATCGTTTCATGTTTTTTTCGTAAAATACGAATAACTCTTGATGCAAGCGAAATAAAAATTTTTTCTTTTTACGGAAATGTAGTCCAGATTAATTACACGTTCACTTTTCACGAAGAGAAACTTTTAGTAAAATTTTTTGTTTCGAAAAATTAGTTTCAGATATGCCATTATATCCAGTTTCATAATTTTGATTGGAAATTTATGGAAAGTGAAAAGGACACAATATAAGTGAAATGCTGAGGATGAAAAGTGAGTATGTAATCTTCCTGACAAAGCTTTTATGATCATATTTTTTCATGATTATGATGTACGTTGAATGTAGATTCTACAGCAGAAAGGGTAACTCTTATTTCCTCATCCTCGTACATCTACGTATGTTTCAGTAGTAGGTGCTCGTTCTTAATAAATTTTCGAAACCACATAATAGTTAACCGTCATAGTCTGATGGATAGTCTACAGTCGTCGAAGGGTATTTGATGCGGGTTTGAAGTCGAAATGATGTTATGAGTAGTCCCTAAAAATGAGGCTCTAAGATATGAGATCCTTTTCGCAAAAATTCATAACTCATTAATTGAAGCTAATTACTCGAAACAAAAAATTTTATCAAAAATTTTCTTTTCGTGAAAAGTGAACGTGTAATTAATCTGGGCTACATTTCCATAAAAAGAAAAAATTTTCATTTCGCTTGCATCAAGAGTTATTCGTATTTTACGAAAAAAACATGAAACGATATCTCACGAGCCATCGTATATATATATATATATATAATATACGTATATAGTAGCGTTCAAAGTGAAATTCAGTCCAATGTAATACTGGCCTAGGACAAAGTCAGATTCCAATTTGAATTAGTTCGAAGTCTAATTTCACTTTCGCCTAGAGTTGCTTGCTTAAGGCCAAAGTCAAATTTCAGTATGAACTAGTCCGTAAGTAAAATGTAATAAAAGGTACAAATCCACTGTTACATTGGATTGAAAACACCAGGCGAATTTAAGATTTGACTAGTCTCATACTGATGGAGCGATCAGCAGTCATGGAGTAATACCAAATTTTTATTAAAAATAATTAGCTTTATTCCAATAAAAACATGCGCTTCATTAATATAAATAAAGAAGAAAGTGCATTCTTCCTACATTTACTACGTATATGTTTGCGTTCAAAGTGGAATTCAGTCCAATGTAATACTGGCCTAAGACAAAGTCTAATTCACGCATAATCGGAAGAACTGATCATTTGTACTGGAAAATTGCTTGTAATGAAACAAGATGAATATTTTATTTGTCAACACATTTGAAAACGGTACAGATTCTATCAAACAAAAGATCTTTGAAAATGGGAAAAAAAATCACAAAGCTTCTATAAAACTGTCATTTCTAACAAATTCCAAAATTCAGAACCTGCTTCAACCTATGTGCTGGGTGCACCGAGTACAGGTCATTGCAAAGGAAGTTTTTCGACCAAACAGACTTTGGTTTTTGTTGTTCTGTAATAACAATATGAGAAGATGAGATATAAACCCTTTGAGTTTTTACTATTAGAACTTTCGTACAGCAGATTATAGGAATGATATTTTAGAACATGCGTGTTATTTTATGACACCAGTGAGAACTAAAGTCTGTTTGGTCGAAAAACCTTCCGCTGGACGTTGTTTCGTTACAACTAATTTTCCAGTACAAATGATCAATTCTTTCGATTATGCGTGAATTATCATCCTGATTTGACATTAGTCTATACCAATACCACATTGGCCTGATTAATTCTAAATTGTATTTTAGACTAGTTCAATCTTAGATTCGCCGGGTGTTTTCAGTTCAATATAACATTGAATTTGTACCTTTTATTACATTTTACTTACGGACTAGTTCATACTGAAATTTCACTTTGGCCTTAAGCAAGCAACTCTAGGCGAAAGTGAAATTAGACTTCGAACTAATTCAAATTGGAATCTGACTTTGTCCTAGGCCAGTATTACATTGAACTGAATTTCACTTTGAACGCAAACATATACGTAGTAAATGTAGGAAGAGCGCACTTTCTTCTTTATTTATATTAATGAAGCGCATGTTTTTATTGAAATAAAGCTAATTATTTTTAATAAAACTTTGGTATTACTCACAAGGGATTCTTAAACAAGGCAGAAAGAAAGAAATCTACATATTTGTGGGTGGGAATGCTTAATCAACTTATCAGAGTACGCGAAGTCACATGAATCATAAACTTAAATTTTCTAGCCAAGTACGAAGAAAAATTTTGGCCTGGCCAATTTATTTTGTTTAACTCAATTTCAACTTGATTTATCTATAACATCAGAAAAATAAAGAATTACAATAGGCGTGTTGCGTAAAAAGGTTTGTATAGGGTAGCTCATTAAGCACTAAATAAACTTTACCAAAACAGGACGCTTGACGGTTTGAAACCGGGCTCTTTCAGCTACGCCAGTCAGATAATTGAATGGATTTTGAGTGAAACAGATAAATTTTCAGAAAAGGGATATTTTTACTATACAAAAAAACGTTTTCTTTTTTGTCGAACGTTTAAGAGCTGAAAATTTTTAAAGGACATATTTGTCTCTGCCACTTTTCAAGTAGCATTCCGAGAACAAAAATTATAAACAATCACTTATCACTGGGTCTTGAACTCAATTTTAAAATTTTGATGTTTAAATTTTTAAAACTCTAATATCTAGACGCATATTGGAGATGAAAGTTTTGTGCAAAGTCATCGGATAGAGAGATTTCCAAGAGGGTTAAAAAAGAGCTTAAAAACTTGTACAAAGGTAGGTTTTGTTAGGGTTCGAAAGAAAAAACAATGAGTTTTTTGAAATTGGTTTAGGAAATCCAATTTTAGAAAAGTATGGTATAAAACTCAAGAATGAAATGTGAAAATTAGCACGTCAAAAATAATTTTACATGGGTTTTTATCATTATTAAAAACTATGATGATTATTGGGAGTGTATAATTTTTGTTTTCAGAATGCTACTTGAAAAGTGACAGAGAGGAATATGTTCTTTAAAAAATACCAGCTGTTAAG